CGGATTTTGTTAACTTTTTAAAAGACTGTTTCACCATCATGTACAGAGTGCGGCCTAAGTATAGTTACAAGGTTGTAACATCGATTTAAGAAACTGGTTGATTTTTATTTCTTGACTCTAGCTAAACTGCAAGGAATTTTCGAGAATAAAAATTGAATTGTCTTGATGGCCCTGTTGTGAACTTTTTCTCCATTTCTATCACTGTTTTAAAACTACATTCCATAAATTCTTATAGCTAAGTTTTTTTAATTCCTTTGTTATAAAGTGATTTTCAACCAACCATGTGCTCTTTGAGATGTGCCTCACGTTCCCCAATAGAGACCCACTTTTGAAAGCCCTAAATTGATTAACGATTTTAAACTCGACGGCTTGTTGAGCTTACTTATGATTAGATTTTAGTATTAACTGACGATAATCTCTAAAAACGAATCAATTTTTGTGAGTTGATTTGCTACACTTAATTTAATCTTTAATTATTTTCATTTTTAGAGATGGGAAGATGAAAACAACGCACACCGGAAGCATATCTCGACCCAACATGCTGGTCATAACTTCATCATGCTTTAAAAATTTTAGAAAAATAGATTTTTTTGAAAAATAAATTTAATTGAGCAAGTTGAACTTCCGAGCCGATTCAGTTATTGCAAAACTTTCTAATAATGAATTATTTCGAGCTCCAAGTTTAAAAATAATCGAATACGGCAACAAACAAATTCGAAATTCGAAGCATTTGAAATCTTTAAAGAATCATTAAACCTGTAGCCGGAAATTTTGTTTCATAACATTATTTAAATTTATTTAAAATTTCTAGTACATTATTTACCATTACATTATTTACAATTTTTCTTGGGACAGATGGATATTACACAGTTTTTCAAGATCATTGGCTCAAAATCAAACTGAAAGACAGCGTCTTAGAACAGAATCAGAATTGTTCAGAAATAGAACAGAAATTTTTAGAACAGAATGGAAGATGGTCGAGAATTCATGCTGGTTTAATGCAGATGCTCAAAATAACTCCTAAAACAGACTACCATATTAATTTTTTTTGAAAAACTTTGAAGAGGTGTCATCGCTCTCTTTGGATTAGATCTAAAGAAAAAGAGTCGTCTTGAATTAATGTCGTGGCATCATCGTTTCCTAAACATGCTCATAAACGTTCCCCAATCAGTGTTAATGGGATCATAAAAAAACGAAAAAGACTAGTTTTTAGATTTGTTTCAACCTGTAGCCGAAATCTCAGGATTTCATTTCAGCTGATTATTTACATCTTTTCGTTTTATTTTACACAGATGGATACTACACTTTTGATTTATTTCCATTATTTTGAGCTTCCCTGCCTCAAAATCGGCAAAAATCTGGAGGACCTAGTGAAGTTTGCTAAGGAGCATCAAGGATGGACTCTTCAGAAATGCAAAGCTCGTTTATTGAGTGATGAAATCAGGTTTTCCTACTTTGTTAATGGAATTGAGTATACGGGACGTCGCGAAAAAACCAAAGTGGAACAATAAAAATATGGCGGGTGGAGACATTCTCGGGTAGCTTTTCTTGATGGAACTCTACCGCTCAAGCGAATCACATTCGCAGCTTCCAAAATTATCCAATAAGCCATCGTTAAATCTGCAAATTTCTGATCTAAGCCTTTTCAGTGTACACTCTTCCGAGTGTTTGCCAGAAATGCTCAAAAGGATACAGGTCGGAAAGTTGGCTTAACTGCTCCATAACGGCAAACTTTTGTGGCGACACTCCAGAAAGGCTTGATGTTTTCTTGAAAAGTTTAAATTTGGTTGATATTTTTTGTTTCTGGTTCCACGCAATGACACTTGCGAACTCCCAAACGCTGTAGCATTACACAGAAACCAAACACCTACTACGGTAAGGCATACACGAATTGCTTGTCAAGGGAAATATTAAAAGGAAAAATTCATTAAGGAAATTGAATGGAATGCCTTTTGAAGGCAGTAAAATAAAACTGTGTTTTGTGAATTTTGTGTTCCTTAAAATTTTAATTGCCTATTGATTAAAATGGAATATGGCACCATGTAAAGCCAAGATGCAGCGGAACGGTAGACAAAGGGACCTTTTACTTTATATATTTCTTTGGCTTGATTTAGTTTGACAAGTATCTGAGGGCCAACTACACCTGTGGAGAATCGGTGAGTGCGTTGAAACTTTTGGATCTGTTTAAATCATTTAGAGCGAAAAGGAAAGAAAAGAAAGGTGCAGAAAAACGGTAGACAAACGGACCTTTTACTTTATATATTTCTTTGACTTGATTTAGTTTGAGCAGTATCCAGAATATCTTCAACATCAAAATCAAATCAACATTACAAGAGCTTTGTCCCCCGGGTGAATCGGTGGCAGGAGGTTTTGCAATTCATTCGTTCTAGCTGCTTCGGATCGGGTCCTTACAAGTTTCAACTTCGACTCGATCCATCTGGAATGATTCTAGTGGCTACATGTCTCTTCATTTGCTGATTCAAGGTGACATGATGCTTTTTTGATAAATTGTTAACAACTGTTTAGACTGTCCATCAAACCGCCTCTCCTTCAGAGTTAACTTTTCGTTGGATACTCTTGATGGCACAAGGACGTGTCCTCCTCTCAACAAGAATGTTTTTACCGTGAATCGCCGTGGAGTCATCACCGCCGAAATATAGAATATAAAGAATACAAAGTTTTCAGATTTTTCAATGTTATGAAGACTCACGCAAAGTGAGAATCAAAAATAAAAAGCAACTATTGTTCAAATAATAGCCTTTCAAACTGATCTTCAATTTTCCAATATTGACACCATACCCAAAGCCGATGGGTCCAATGCTAGAGAAGTGTTGGCCCAGTGTTAAGAATACTTAAAGAAGAACGGAAAAATACATGTTCAGAAGAAAAAGTCTTGTTAGGATACTTTCAGTTAGGAGTCATCGGACTGAAGAGACTAAGAAATGTTTTACCAAAGACTTATATATAAAAAAATTTAAGTAAAAATTGAGACGAACAGCTAGAGTAACTCCTAATGCGTTGAGGCTTTCACGGATGCCAAAAATGCAATTCTATCGTTATGGCTACCGGGATGTCGGCAGGGTTACCTCCAACAAAAATGTCTTACTGAAAGTAGGTTGTTTTGCTTTGAAGCTCAATCAGAAAAATTATTTTTTACAGAAGACCTGATTTTGACGCTTCAGGGCAAATCTCACTACCGAAAGCGTCATCCCGAGCTTGACGACAAACCGAGATACGAGATCTAAGACAACAAAATTTTCAAATCAGATCAATCAATTCTCAATTTTCTTTTATATAAAGACTTATATTACAAATCCTTATCTACTCGGTACATCTTAGAAAAGAACGGAAAAATACATGTTCAGAAGAAAAAGTCTTGTTAGGATACTTTCAGTTAGGATATTAACGATGTTACTAACTGCTACCTATTTAGCCGTTTGATCCAATTGATTGGCCGTGTGTCAGAGCGAGTGATGGTGAAGATGAGATGGTGAAGATGGTGAAGATGAGGAACCTAGCATGTGCATGGTGAAGATGAGGAACCTAACATGTGCATGTTTCATTCTTTGGTCTGTTTCAAAATTATTATGGATGATTTAACTAGTGAGCTTCAAAAAGAGAGATTTGAGCAAGCTTTCAAACTTTGGAACTCCACATTAACACCCATCAATTTTCAGAACCAAGGATCATTGCGTCAATTGCAGCTGGAATTTCTGAGATTTAGTGGGCTTAGAACCTCATCAGAATTTGTGAAAATCAAGTCTGAGCCATATACGGGTGGGTTTGCAGCTAAAAATCAAGTTAAAACAAAAGTTACATCAAGGATCAGTGTTGGATTATCACTAACCTAGCTAGCCTGACAAAAGGCTAACAGGTAAATCCCTAAGACTTAAACAGGCGCCGATACGCAAGCCAGTCTTAGGTATTTACCTGACTCTAGCTTTGTAAGTCAAAAATCCACCTAGAGGCTTTCCCGGTCTCAGAATCCAGTGAAAACATTTACTCCATTCACTCCAGTGAAACGGCCAACATAGGTTAAAAACATTTACAGAGCTCGACTGAAGTTCGACTGAAGAATGATTTTCTTCATTGCAAATTCTGTAAATCGACTCTCTGATTAGAGTTGATAGAATCGTTGTCAAACTTTCTCTTTTCCTGAAATTTTCTACTTTTCTCAAATAAAAAAAAGTTTTTCGTATCTCCGTGAATGGTCAAATTCTTGCCCATGTTGAATATGAATATGAATTCATGTTAAATAAATGCAAATGTTAATCATTCATAATACAAATCCGAAACACCAAACTCTCTGAATGTTTTTCCTCTTAAATGGGATTATCACTATTCTAAAATATTCATACAGAAGGGGAAGCGGTGAAAGAAAACGCTGAGGAAACACTTTTAATTCTTTTTCTTGCTTACCTCAGAGCACTGGCAATTTAGGTTTTCAGAAAATTAATCCCTTGAGAATTCTTGCCCAAAATTTGTGTTTTGAATATTTATTGCCCACGATTTCTGTTCTCTTCAATTTTTACAAGTAGGCGTGTCCCTCCGCGTTTTCCTTTCAGTATGAATAGTTGATTTATTGCCTTTTCAAAACGAATTCTTCTCGGAAAAATGTTCCAAATTGAGTTTACAATAAGAAGACTATCTATAAATAGGTTATAGCGCCGGTTAATTCACCCTTCCTTGATTTCACCCGGTCTTGATTTGACAGAAGTAAAAGCTTACCAATCTGTTGGCGAACTTCTTAGAGTTCTTAAACGAACTTTTAACCCAAACCCACAAAATCTCAGTTCTTTAATTTCTTAATTGATTTACATTCTAAAAGTTTTTTTCTGAAGATATTTTGTCTTTTTTGAATCGTTCAGACGTCAAGCATTCCGATTTTAAAACAAAATAGGTAAAGATATGCAAACTCGGAGTTTTTGAATGCATTTTGCAGTGTTTATTCGCTCCAATGAAATTTCGCATTTATTTGCTCGAATCAAATCCCGCATTTATTTGCTCGAATAAAATTCCTAAATATGTTTTTCTCTTTTTTATAGAAAGGACCTACACATTGCTGGATTCTTGATCCTGAAGTGAGCCTCCCAAGTTCAGCCTGACTTTGCCGTAGTTGTTTGTCCTTTCAGTTGCAACAAAGTAGTAGCATGCAAGATGATCCGGCTTAAAATAAAATCGGCATGTGAATTCATTAGTAAATTTAACTTAATTTAATTAACTCAAGTTTTTAGCCAACGCACCGAATCTCCACAGATGTAGTCGACTTTAAGGCGGAATTCCCTCATTGGATCCATGTCGTCAATTACATCATCGAATTTCAGAGTGCAGTTTGCTCAAAAATTACATACACAAGACAAAAAGCCTGATCTACAACGGCAATAAGCGGCATCTGCGGGACCATCATCAATGTCAGCGTCGGTCAGAATGATGTAGGGCTGAAAAACAGAGGTTTGGTCCTTCAGAAAACAATAAGGTTTGATATGAAATAAACTATTTAAAAAATAAATAATCATTAGATAAATTTTACTGGAGTCCTTAGATACGCCCCATTTCCACAGGTTGGAACCACGTCGACCTGAAATCTTTTTAATTTACAAAGTGTTAAAATGCCAAAATGACTCACTTGAAAAATCGTAGCTGTGACTGCAGAAAAGAAGCAGAAAAAGCCAAGTTTGAGCATTATTGGGAAATGATACTTTGTGAAAATCTACCCCTTTTATGCGCGAATAATGGGATTCTCGGCCGCCGGTGGGCGTGGCTTGACGCTAGCGGTTTTCTGTCTTCTATTTTCAAATTTTTTGTTGGCGACAACGGCTCACAATGTTGCTTCTGACTCTGAAAGCTTATGAAAGCAAAAAGAAAATTCTCTAAACAAGCCAGTGATCTTTCAGAAATCGTGTACAACAAAGGCTGACTGCGGCGTAAACGAACATTGTTGTTTTCCAAATGGAGTAAACCACTCAAAAAAGGCGATTTGTATCTATGTTGGTAGCTACTGTATCAAATCGATACTAAGTTTTTTGGTCCATAGATTTTCATAGATGAATTCAAAGGATTCTTCAGCTAATAATGGAAATAAAATTAAGAAGCAAGTTGGAAAATGGATTTAAACAATTTTATTTCCCAATTTTCTTTGAATGAAAAATCTTTCAAAATTTTTCTCAAATGAGTAAGACCGTGGTGCAGTCCATCGGCTCAGAACCTTTCTTATTTTTTTAAAAATTTGAAAAATTAAAACAAAAAGCTCGATTTTGCCAAGCTAATACCATCAAAGAAATCTTGAAAAGTTCCTGCGTAATGCAAATTCTCAAAATTTATGTTTTACTTGTAAAAATCCTTGCTTTTCGTTAATAAGTTTATAAGATTTTGGAAAATTAACGCTGCATTGTTTCCTGCCTATTTTAAAGTGCCAGTTTTTGTTGCCAGCTTTTGTTCAGATATTTGTTATTATCTCTTATTAGTCCGCGAAACAATATGATTTCAAAAAGCCAGCAAACGTCCATCTTGCAACAGACTGATGATCGATGTACAAGGAAAAAAAAGGAAAAACAAGAATACAAAAGCGTTAACGACCAGTGTGGCTTATTTCAATTATCGCGTCGTAATAAACATCCTTGAACATTATTTAAAAGAAGAAATATTGAATAGATCTAGACACGCAATAAATAATAGTAACTATACTTAGAGTTTAGAAACAAACAATGATCTCAATACCTTTCATGATGATGCCCATGATCAAGCAAAATTTACGATTCGACCATGATTCGACTTTCGGTGAACTATCCTTTGAATCGGATGTCAGCAATTCAAGATAACGACATTACGTTGTTACGACACGTTGTGTGCCATTTGAGCAGAACAAATATCAAGCGCTTTAAAATATTTAAAATCCGAAAAATAGCTATATTTTTACATTCAAAACGTTTTCCATCCAATGTAATAATTTAAAACAACTTTAAATGATTTAAAATTAACGTTTTATTGATTTCAAAGCTGCGAAAAACTGATTCAGAGCAATGTTGAATGTTTTGAAGGAAGGACCCCTAGTAATGAAAGTATCCTAACAAGACTTTTCTTCTGAACATGTATTTTTCCGTTCTTTTTTACGTTTTCCGTTCTTTTTTCTTAACACTGCGCCAACAAATCTCTAGCATTGGACCCATGCTTTTTTAGTTTTGATTTTCACTTTGCGTGAGTCTTCGTAACAATAAAAAATCTGAAAACTTTGTATTCCTTGTCTTCCTTTTTCTATGGGATTCCGGAGTTTCTAAATCTATCCAGGTTTCTAAAAACAGAAAGGGACGCTCAAAATTGACCTAACAACTAACTTTAGTTTTGTTCCTGAATCTTTTTAGATTGTGTCATAGCAATTTTAGACTTTCTAGATTATATAAAGAGTCCTATAGACGGGCTGATTCCACTTCCAAACAACAATGCGTTTGATATTGCCAAGCTAAACCTAAAGAATTCAAGTATTAGGTGAACGATTCTTTGTTATAAAAGGCATTTAACCGTAAAACCCAGTCGAACACTCAACCATGCACTGAATCTCTAGGTGAATTGAATTCAAAACTAGATTGTTTTCGTGGATGCTTAGCATGCGTCCACTTATAAAAAGCCCATCCTGAGCTTGAAGAAAGGAACTATATTAAGTGAGATTTATATAAAGGAACTATATTTAGTGAGACAAAGAATTCTTCAAAGAATAGAAGTACTACATTTAGCGTGATGTAGAACTATATTTAGTTCAAATAACAATATTTAGAGAGTATACGATTGAGGCAAACTTCATGCCTAAAGTTATTCGCAATTTTACTTAACTCTACTTTAGAAAGGTAGATACTACACTTTTCGAAAACTTTCTTTCTCTTCAAATAAATATACTTCAGTTTTCCCAGAAAAACTTTCTCCAAAAACTTTTTTAGTAATTTTGGACGAAAAAATTTTAGACTCAAAAAAGAAAGGATTCTTCAATAGAAAAAATGTTTTGTGTTATGGTCAATTCACGGTTGGAATTCACTGTTTGCTATGAATAAATGTATCGATGAAGAACAGAAAATAACCAACAAAAATAGAAGATCGCATCATGAAAATCGGCAAAACTTAATTCAACAAGCTGGCAACAAAAATAGAAAAAATTGTGATAAAATAAAAATAGAAAATTGTGTAAAATTTCATTCTCTGCTGCCATAAAAAACCACTAACCAAGAAACGGAGTCGTACGTTTTGTCTGAAATCGTGTGATTTGCCAAAACATGCTTCTCACCGCAAACACTTTGCTACTTTTGCTCTCAATTTCTACATGGGAAGTGACGTTTCAAGTGCGTTTCCTTAAGTTGCTTCAATTTTGAGATTTTCAGGTCGATTTGGTACCAACTTGTGCAAATGGTGCTGAAAGGGTTGACCGATTCTAGTACTTGATACTGAGCCTGATCTTAGTTAGGGCCAAGGCCCGAACCCTGGCCTTGTTTTATTTGCCTAAAACAACACCTGTAACGAAAAATTTACAATATTTCAAACTGGTCATTTTTTAGATTACTATCTCACCTTGAGACAAGAATTAGGAACTATATTGAGAGAGAAAAAGAACTATATTTAGAAAGGCAGTAAAACCAATTGTGTTCTGGGGTCTGCTGTGAATTTTGTTTTTAAAAGGGTTGTTTATTATTAACAGTTAAACCTGGGATTCAACCTTGCTAGGTTAACGAGATCCGCCAACCGATTTAATCCAAAGTGAACGAGATCCGATTTAATCCAAAGTTTAACTGTTAGTAAGAAACAACCCGTTTGAACAGAAAATTTACAGCAGACCCCCAGAACACAACTTCATTTTACTACCTGAAAAACTGAAATGGCCTTATCTATTTTCTTCTTGGAGTCTTTTTTCGTTGGTCGTTCCACACTGGTTTTTTCTAATTCAAGTGAACGTTATCTATTTCTCTCAATTTTTTAGGTGGTTCTTTCAGAGTTCATTTTTGCAAAAAAAGAATGAAAAACTTCGGGTTTTGATTTGTTTAGCGGGTTTTGCGGGCTGACTATTAGGGAAATGTAATCATTGACTCAATTTTGTCAGAAATCTTTTTAATCTAACACCTGAGATGGCCGCGAGAGTTGGAGTTTGTAAAATGAAACATCCCGCATTCAATTTTAGAAATGTTGCTTCATGGTTGGAAATATTTTTGACAATACCTGAGTCTAATAATATATTGAGGTGTGAAAGAAAATGGCTCTTAAAAAACTTTTTTTTGGTTTTTTAAATATGCATCGGAAGTGAACCTTGGGTGGACGTCCTGTAAAGTTATGAAGTTGAACTGGATTAGAGTACTCTGTGCCTTGTATTTCACACATAAAAGTTTGATTTTCTTGCAATAATTTTGATTTTTACCTTGACACCAATTCCTGGTTTTAAGATGTGGTTTAAATTGAGACCGATGCCAAGACTTTCAAACCCTGGAACAAAACATCATTTCATCACCAAACAACCCTTTTCAACGCCATTCACAGCAGAAACCTCCAAACACAATTCCATGGTATTAACTTAAAAACGTTGGCCGGCTTGAATGGCCCTATCTATATTCTTCTTCCACACTCCCAAAACTTCCACACTTTTTTCTTGTGTTTTTTTTTGACAAAAATAGCTATGCTTCATAATTTTTGACAAACAAGTTATTCTTTTCTAATTTGTCCTTCTGTTGACAGATTCAGACAACTTTTATTATTATTATCTCTAGTTAGTCTGGGAAACAATATGGTTTTAAAAGGTTACTAAAATTATCAAGATATTTCAATTATGCAAAGTTTCGGCAGAAATAGTCTATTTCAGTTAATAAAACGGCATTTTAGGTCAGTCATTCTTGCTTCTTCATTGTTCATTCTCGTCATTCTTGCTTCTCGTAAGCGCAAAAGTGCTTTAAGCGTCGGGCTGCAACAAGAACTAGCCGTCCTCGAGAATGACAATAACGGTTCGATATTATCAAACGATGAATATCATTGACTAGGTGATTTCTCGTCACTCCTCAACTTTCTTTTAGCCATAATCTTGGCTTGAATACGCTGAGATTGAGATTGAATCGACTAGACATTCGTGAAGGACAAATTATGTCAGGACAAATTGTGGAGGATGCCTGAAAGCTGGCCGAAAACCACAGGTGAGCACTGGAACTACTATTTAAACCACCTAATTGTTAGATGTCTACTTGCGAAACATCCCCGTGCCAGCCAAGCGGATATATAAGTTGCTACCCAAAAAACTGATCTAGGGTTAAATCATTAAGAATTGATTCATTATTTAAAACGCATTCAGAAATATCAATGACTCACTGAAATCTTCCACGGATTTAGGACTATCTCAAACCATATTAGAATCATAAAAAACTGATTTCAAATAACTCATTCCGACATTAGAATAACTTATTTAGAATAATCAATACCTTATTAATAATTGATTAATTATTTAAAAATAATTCGAAATCCTTAATAATTAACATCAGGATTATTTAGAATAATGATAATCCCATTTAAGAGGCAAAATATTGAGAGAGTTTGGTGTTTCGGATTTGTATCATGAATTATTAACGTTTGCCATTATTCAATAATCAATTAAGAGCAAGAATTTGACAATTTACGAAAATCTTTTTTATTCGTTGAATTCATAAAAAAAAGTTCAGAAAAAAGAAAGTT